TTTTCTTTTTCTTTTTCTTTTTTTGTGAAAGAAAACTTTGATGAGCCCACCTCCTGGCTTCCATTGTTTGCTTAGATTGGTCTTACAAGCATAGCTAATAATAACAATAACAACAGAAAAAACCCCTATAAAGCCTCAAGAAAAAAAAAGTTAATGAAAAAAAAATCTCACACCAGGTGAAGAGCACATAGAGCTGAAAATATGAGTTAAACTTACGAGTTGTGATAAGTTTAGATTGTCATTTTGGTAATCTATATAGAGTGCGAATTATTTTAGTTTCGATACTTGGCTGGCAAGTCATTAGAAACCAATCCACATTCCCAATTCTATCAGTATAGACTAATTTTTTACATCAAAATCTGTTATTACATGTTACTCTGTTGTTGCGAAATTTTTCAGGAATTACATCTTATTATGATTTTAAAAGAAAAAAAAACCATCAAACCCTTTTTTCAATTGGTTGGGTGTTGGCCAGGTGTTAAAAAAAAAAAATCCTATTTAGGTGTTGTATCATCTTAGGTTAGAATTCTATGTTAGTGATTTGATTCCCATTAGGTTCTTTAGTAAAGTGAGGCCCATTGTGGAATGGCCTAATTAAAATACTTTATCTCAAATATAAATCAGCTATAACTCACAAGGTCATGAGTTCAAATCCCTTTGCCGATGTGAGAATCTTGTTAGTGGATGATCTGTAAGTACCTCTGTAAACGTTATTTAAGCCTGAAGGCATGTCTTAGCCCTGATGAGTCCCCGAAACCCAACTCATATAAACTTTTTATTACCAAAAAAAATATATAAATCAGCTATTGAAAAAATTATTAATATGAAATATAAGACTTATTTAAATTGTTCAGATTATTAAATTTACTTTTTCTTATATTAGGGGAAATCTGAAAAAAAATATATTATGTTTTGATTGAAATTTAATAATTTATATTATATTTAATTAATTTTTTTAAATGGGTGTGACAGAAAGGTGTAAGTATTGATGACTTATATGTAAAATTGGAGATTCAATCTTTTAAGGGTGCTTATATGTACGGCAAAATATTGCGCATTGATATAGTTAATTTTGTTTAAATATACGCGAATTTTTAAATTGAAAGTAAATTAAAATAAATAAATAAATTATATTTTAATCATCTGATTTTACCAAAGAAATTAATATTATTTGTACATATAATTTTAATATAATATAATATAATAAAAAGAATGGAATTTAAACATCAATGGCCGCAATGAAAAAAGATGCCATCCTTTGTTGCCTTGTTGGGTAGGGTGGGGGAAGAAAATAAGAAGAATTTTAATGAAAGAAAATGGCTTTAAACTTTAAAATTAATTTCAAAAATATAAGGATGTGAAGATTTTGAAGCATCAATATATGATATAAACCACCTTAATTTATTCATACGTCATGAAATATGTCAATAACTATAAACTTTGTTTGAGCTCAGAGGCTGCATTCTATTTTTTTGTAATATTTGAATATTTTAATACATAAAATCTTTTAATACAAATATTCTTAATTTGGGGGTACTCTTTTGTAAATTTTACGAAAAATGAAAAAAAAAATTAAATATTTTTTAAATTCTTTTTTGTGGATTTGCTTGACAATGCAGCTTCCACTTTGCAGTGATCAAATTTCTGCACGAAGAGTAACAAAGGACCCGCCATTTTGTGCCCTCAATTTATTATTTCAAATTTAATTAATTTTCAATGTCAACGTGCACCTTCAAAAAAAGAAGAAAATTTAATAATCAAGTAATTAAATTATTAGGTCAATAAAATTGAATTATCTAAAGTAACAGTCTAATACAATCATTTTGCACTCATTTCCCTTTAATTCAGAGACTTCAAATCAAATTCATATACAACCACTTTTTATAAATGTTATTTTTCTACCTATTTAAATTTGTCAAATTATTCGTCTAATAATTAAAATATAAGGCATCGTTGCCCAATTCAAGGGTGGATAAATATTTAAATGTAAAATGAAAGCAATTTTAATTTATTATACACAGTCAAGATTTAAGGTTGAAATGTTTGAATTTGACTTAAGACCAATTAACTTAATTAATATTTAAATTAGCTTGCATCATTTGCATGACGAAAACGTAAGAACTAAGAAGAATGGTCTAAATTAATATTCAACTTATTCAAATTTAAATTTGATTATCACAATAAATAATGCTTCTAATTTTTCGCTTTTTCATATTGTTTCTATCATTTGATTTCAATCAAGATTTGCTTCTAAAAAGTGCCCTCCCACTAGGGCGGATTTACCGATTTATACTCAAGCACCCTGTATTCTAATTTGTGTGTGTGTGTGTGTGTGTGTGATCTCTATTTTTGACGTTTTATCCATATTTATAAATAATATTGATTTTGTAAAATAAATTATATTTATTTCCATCCCTGTTGGGGCAGAAAGCCCTAAAAATTTTATAAAAAATAAGTGACCAATAGAATTCCCCCTTTTAGTGGGGGAAAAAAAGAATCTCCCAAATTTTGTTTTAAAAATAGGTTAATATGCAAATTTATTTAAGAAGTTTTTCCTCACGAATGTTGAATACCTAAAAAAATTTTAAAATACAAACATGTATCGAAAATTTAAAATCATAGGAACATTTATTTCTATTCTTAAAATTAACGTTAAAAATTAAAATAAGAATATTGAATATTGCTATACTTTTAAATTTTTAGAATAAATTTGTATCCAAAATAATTTTTGAGTGTCCAGTTTTTTTTGCGTGAAAACTTTTACCATAAATTTAACTCAAAAAAATTAATTTCATGTGTTTGTACTTTGTACTTTCATTGTTCACATCATCAATAAGATCCTTTTCCTAAATAGTCATCACATATGATTTAAATCCTATGATGCTGTCTTGGGCACGCTGATCTAAAGCAAAAACATGGCAATCGATTTCACAGGACGGATGGGTTTGAAATAATAATTTTTTTTGTAACACATATAAATAATTTAATGTTACAACATTAAAAAGAATTTTATCATTGAAAATATTGTTGTTGTTACCTCTTATACGTAATATGAGGTTCTTATCAAATTCATTTTTTGGTTGAATTGTAAGTTGCTAGGTCTTGTTCTAAAATGTAAAAATTCATTTAAATCATAAATATACGTTATTAATATCTTTTATTTTTTATATTTATTTTTCGAGCCATTCTAATCAATTGCATATATTAGTATTAGCATGTTTTAATATAAATAATTAAAAATGAGATATCTTATAAAAATCGACACATTTTTTTATAGATATTTCACTAAATTAATTTTTTATACATATATCACAAACAATTAATTAGTTATTTAGTTCTTACATTTTTTAATAAGAAGAACACAAAACTTAAAAAAATTAAAAATAATAAATATGCATTTTTTTTATTTTCTATATATAGACGACGCATACTTGTCCCAAAATCTATGTACTTAAGCGTGAGGGTGTGTGTTTACGTAGATGATTCTAAGAGAACTCCTTATCAGCCGAAGTCATCAGTCAACATCAATATATAATTTATAAGGAGTATTTATAAAATACGAATAATGTCTTCTTCTTTTTTTTGTAGGTACACATATTTTTTTATTAAAAACAACCTTGTTTGAAGCACTGTTATATACTAAATATAGATGCTTCTTCTAGTGAAAATTCGAATATTAGTTGATCATGTTGTGGAAAAGTAACCCTTTCCACTAAACTAACCCCAATTAGTATTGTCATTTATTTTTAAATTCTATCTAATACACATAAACTAATATGTAAGAATATATATGATAGTTACATCTATAAATTATTTTTTATACTTTTTATTTCACTGCATTGTATATACTAAAAAATTTTAAAACTCATCCCTTTCAACTTGTCTTTTTTTTAAAAAAAAAAAAAATAGTTTTCACGTTATAAACAAGATTTTCCTTTCTTTTTTTTTTTGTTTTTATTTTCCATCAATCATTTTGTTTTTGACAATTGGGTGTCCATATAAGCAATTATCATGTAATGTTGGAGTAAGACGCAACAAGTCACTATAGAGCATAGACTATGAATTTCTTCCAAATAACGTTAAATTTTCTATCAATTCCAAGTCACTTTTTATAAATTTAATATGCAAATACCTTTTAGGTACATAATTGATCGGCCAACAAGTGCTCAAATCATCTCACCAAAGCCAAATCATTTATGCTAATTGAAATTGTTTCATAAAGTACATGTATTTGGTGACATGTCATTTGTTATTTTATAGTATTTCTACCTCATGTGATATTTGTCCTGCATGCTTGTTGCTACTATAACCACAATTTAGATCTTCCAAGTTTGAGTGCTACTTTTGTTTTAATCATAAAATAGAAGCAATTTTGTGGAACATGAATTAATGAGTTTCTATTTTATTAAGGGGTGATTAGTTTAGAACAATACGTGGTTACTTTTTTATAAGAACATGAAATTTAAATTGCTTTCATTCTTTTTATAAGATCATAATTAAAGTTATCTGAACGTTTTTATCAATTTTGCCCCTAATTAACTTTATACATTGCACTAATTAATTAAAATGTTAAAAACTTGACATAGTATATTCTTTTTTATACGTTCTCTCATTATAACTCTTTTTCTCACTCTTACTTGCCCCTTATAAATAAAAGGATACTGGAAGAAGAAGAAGAAAGATTAATCGCTTACATATTTATTACTTTTAATTGATTTTAGGTGTCTTTCTTAAGCCTCATAATTCAATTATTAGATTTTTATAAAAAAGACCAAAGGAAGAATTTGAATACAAACACACACACACCCTCTAGTCCTTATTGTACTTCCAGGTAATTCTTACATATCAAAAAAATCACAATTAACTCGTTAAGTTTGTCCTAAATCAACAACTCTTTTTTAACTTTGTCCTCTTTAAATGATGTGATTATATTTTTCCAACTTCGAATCTTAATTAATAATATGCGTAAAGGGAGAAAAAAGTGTTGAATGAGGCTGTTGAAAGAACGAACACATGGGAGAATGAGTTGTTAATAAGAAGCCTACCTTGTTCAACTTGAATTATGTACAACTAAGGACTGCATTGAGATAATGAGTCAACTAAATAAAAACCAGCCAGCCAGCCAACCAACCACCTAGCAACCCCCATTATTCTTAAAACATCTTTCCCCTAATTGATACATTGCTTTACAGATTTAAAGCCACATTCACTGTACAAAAGAATTAAAAGAAATACATAAAAGACTAAGATGGGGAGAGGGAAGCGTTTCCAGGTTTGGTTTTGCTTCAGAATAAAATAGAATCACTTCCTTCCCAACCTCATTAGATGCTGCTGATGCTTTGCCGCAGCAGCCTTATCAGCCGCCTCCCGTTTCTGTGCTCGCTTCGCTCGTCGTCCAGCTGTAGCCCCTTTAACAACCTCTTTGTTCTTCGGCTCACGGGATGAACTTGCCCCTGAGCTCTGGGAATTATTAGGTTGATAGACTGGCCTAGCTTGTTGCCGACCAGCCCTAACATAGCCATTGTCTCCCCACCTCCGGTTACCGATGCGGATGCTTGATGAGCCGCCATAATAAGCTTCATCTAAGTCATCTTCCTCATCCTCGTATTCATAATAATAATCCTCAATGTCATCATACGTATACATATCTTCATGCTCAGCATGATCTTCTACATTTAAAGGTTTGAACCATGAAGCTCTAAGAAGTAGGCAGACGCTTTCCTCAAACATATAGTCATGAAGCCTGTTTCAACACAAATCATAAATTCAACGTGAGAAATGCTAAAATGGAAAAACCTTGATTTCATTTTCTAACAATTTCATCACCACCAAGAGATGACAACAACTTTACCCTTGCATGATTAGTATGTTACATATAAGCGGGGCAGTAGAGTATATTTCAACCCCTTACCTGCCATCAAGGGAGCGATGGACATTAAGAAACTCAAATGGATGTTTACACTGCGGGCAGGTGCCCTTTGGGCGATACGTGGCCCATCGAAGAATGCATGTTACACTGTAGAAAAACAAATGAAATTCATATAAGTAAGCCGGCATTGAAAACATTTCAAAGGGGTAATCAATAAAAAGGCCAGCAATATGAAATTGAGCATTAATCTCACTATACTTCAAATATTCAAGTTGTGATTATAGTAGCAGCACATTAAACTTAAAAAACAATAGTTTGATTCAAGCATAGCAACAAGCATGCATGGAAAAGATCACGAGAGATGGAAATAAAATAGGCACTCCAGTATAAAGATTAAGCAAAGCCTAATATATACGGAAGGAGGAACCTTCATAGATAAAGGATAGCGACATGTTATTCATGTGAAACCAAACAATCTTTCAGTCCTCCAAATATTACCTCCGGTCCTAAATATAAGAGCTAGTTGACTAATTTGAGTAGATTAAGAAAAAAAAAGTTAAGTTAATTATTTGTAATAAATATGTATTGTCTTTTCTAAAATATCTTTACTGATCAAATTTATTAACTAGAACCACCATTATTAAAAAGACTATCTTGAAAAAAAAGAAGAATAAATATGACAGATAAAATGGATTGGGGTCTTATATTTAGGACCAAAATAAAAGTCAAACGAGATCTTATATTAAGAACTGGAGGCAGTGTCTATCATGAAAACAAAGGTTGAAAATGGAGCCCAACATTTAAAATGCCCACCAACCTTGAATCTACGAATCAAGTAACTGAAAATGGTTAAAGTGGAAAACTAATTTTAAAAATTATTGACGCCTGGGTGAAATCTCTACCTTGTAATCCAAAAGGCAAGGAAGTTTTCCCTAATTAAAAAATGATGCAAAGTGCAACAGACTAGTCAGAGCCTCAAAGTTCTAGCAATTTGAAAAGAACATTATGGCATCTTATAATTTCCAGCAACTTCCATCGGTGCACACAACATTATCTTAAGCAAAGGGCATAAATCATGGTGTATGAATTCAAATCCTAAATGCATGACATGACAAAACTTATGAGTCAGCACAAATTCTTTAGGCATAAAACAAAGATAAGACAGTAGATGCCTAAGAAAATAATGTAGAACAGTTGTCCCAGCCATCCTTAACAATGTAAAGAGGCGTCAAAACCACAACACACACACCCCTTTAAAATCTGTTCCTATACTCCATAACTGCAGGCTATGGTGTTAAAGGCCAATCCAGATTGCTGGACACCATTCTAAAATCTCACATATGTCAAAAATAATATCTTAAAGAATACATCTGAAACAGATCATCTTCAATGTATAAGCCATAATGAAACAAACAACCAAGACATTATCCATGGCGCATACCCTCAACGAACCTTTATATCGATGCAAATCCCACGCAACCCAATAATAAAGCTTCTTCAGATAAAGAAGAGCTCATGATCTAAGTTTTGTTTCATCAGTGTATGAATACGAGTTAAGATTCCCATATAGCCCTAACTAGATTTTCTCCTTCCAGAACACTACCCATAACCATAACCAGATTTCCTCCTTTCAGAATCCCATCCCCTCATTCCTTCCACAACCATATGCCAGGAAATTTTTCTGAAAAGATAGCAAAAGATTCCAATTCCAATTGGAAGAAAAACCAGATTTAATCAACGAAGCATATTTCCAGTAATTAATCTGAAAGCTAATAGTGAGAGATTATTTAGACAAACCAGTAAGCATGCTCGCAACCTTTAACGAGCGCAGTTTCCTGCAGTACAATCTTATCCAGGCAAATCGCACAGATTCCCCCGTGGTTCTCAGATCCCACCTGGAGGATCTCTGCTTCACTTCGCATTTCACTCTGAAGATCAGAAAAATCAGACATAGATCTAATCAACAATATCAGGCGCAGCAACCCCAGGAGCCCTCATCGCAGCAGAGTATTAATTATCGCTCAGAACACAAACTAACCCTAAAATCATCTACCACGCAAGAATTCGTCAGCGATAAATAAATCACAAAAACTATTCGACCCAGAATCCATTAAACCTTTCCACCGCCAAATTTCAAGACTTTTTCACAGCAACTAGACTGGGTCCCCCAATAACATCAAAAGAAACACCTAATTCAAAAACAAGACGAAAAAGAAACAACGAAGGAAGAACGAAGACCTTATCTTTGAGGGATAAATCCTGAAAATCGTTGGCGGGGAGTTGTTCGCCTTCAATCTTCACGACTGAAGTCATAGTAACAGATCGAAAAGGTTAGGTTAGCGGAAATAATTCGGAAAAGCTACCGGATCTATCTGCTGCTGAACCCTTCACAATAAGGTAAAATGAAGAAGGGTCAGGAAGGAAAAAAAGAGAAAGAAAAAGGATGGGGAAAGAGAGGAAGGAAGAGATGCCGAAGAATAATTCTGTGATACCAATAAACGAAGAGAAGAAAGAAACAGTACAATGAAAATTTTGTCAAAGCACTTTTAAAATCAAACACCCCTTGACAGGAGAATAATTTTGCAATGCCTGTTCCCTAACGGATGAGTAATTAATTATTAATTATTAATATTTTTTGCCACCGAGTAATTAACCATTAATATTATAATTTACATAATAAGATAAAATAATTTAGTTTCAATATGTCGCAATTTTTTTGAGAAAATGCAAGGTAAAATTAGTAAGTAGGATTGCACTTCAAATAATTCGTACTAATTAAATAAAGGATTAATTTAAAATTTATTGTTTATAGTTTGGCCTGATTTTGATTTCTGTGGTGCTCAAGTTTTTTTAATATAAAATATTACCCCCTAATATTTTAATTATGTTTGGTAATACTTTTAGTGACATCATAATTTTTTTTTTTTTGCTATAGAAAGGCGTTCTTCTAGTTCTTATCAAGACATTTTTTAGAACTAAATGTAAGAATTTCACCGAACAAGAATTTAAATCTTAGTTGATTATATTGTGATGAACTTGTGCTCTCATCTTACCCAAGTCCATTGATTTGGCAATGCTTATTATTGTTTGAAGTACTCTTTATAAAGTAATAAAAATATTTTTTTATCCTATTAATAAGTTAATTTATTAAAATTTTAGTATAAATATACTATTTTGTTTTTTATTTATTATAATGTAAATAATTTTTTAAAATGAATATATTAAATAAAAACAAAATGAAAAAACTATTATATTTTAATGAAAAATTCTTCGCACATTATGCTAAAGTACCATAGGAGTATAATTGTAATAGGGGCCCTTGGCTATCCTCCAAGAGTTTTCTGACATTTTTTGTGACCACGAAGTTCGACAGCGATAGCCTCCATTACATGTGGTGTGGAGCCAAATTTTGCGGCCACGCTAACTTGAAGTCTCTGATTCATCTCATTGGGGTTTCATCCTCAATCTTTGGAGGGGCCCAAAAAAAAAATCCTCTTTGTATAAAAACTGCTAAAATTTCTTTGAAATATAAAATCCACAAAATAAAAAATCATCAAAGTGAGATTATGTGAGGCCTGTTTCATTGAAGAGAATTGGTAATCACCCTGAAATAAAATATATATAATAAAATGAAAAATACCAACCAGTTGGGTCTAATAGAAGGGGTTAGTCCCTCATAATAAAGTGAACAAAGTTTGAATATTATTTGTGCTCACATTTAGTACCTAACAGTATCTCAAATAGGATTACCTCTAATAGAATGATACCTATATTTTAGCCAAAAAAAAAAGAAAAATTATAGCCGTAGAAGATCGAATTTGTTTAAATAATAATAATAAAATAGGATTATTTGTATTATGATTTGTTAGGATTTTCATGTAGGATTTATGAAGTATTTTGGATTTCCAAATTCAAGCTAAACTTTGAATTTGAATTTTAGTTGTTGAACTGTGGGGATCAAACAAAACTACCCAATGGAATATGCTTTTGGACGGTACAAGCCTAGCGATTGAACATTGGTTGATTCGAGACTTGGTTTAGAATATGGCAATTATTTTTCCTTACAGATCATAAAATATATATTGACGCATACAAGTAGCTGAGATGGTTATTCCTTGTCAATTGTCATAAATTATTGGATATGTAATACTCTTTTGGTTTTATTTATAAAGCACTTCCAACATGTTTCACATAGATCAAAAAAAACCTTAAATTTTATTAACTCTCATTTAAAATTTAATAACTTTCTAATTTTATCCCTATTTAATATACATTATACCTCATGTAAACAAAGTCAACACAATAATAAATGAAAGGTAAAATTGTATATCTGTACAAAAATTTTTTAGTACCTTATAAATAAGACTAAAAGTATTTTCTCTTTCTCTCCTATAAATAGGACCAGAAGAGTATCATATATATTATCACCGGGGATGTATTATTTATTCTTTCACGTGCTTAATATGATTGGCCAATTAAACTATAAGCTAGGGAATCAATTTCTTAATGGTTCCATGAAGTTCGATTTTATACTTTTTCCTCTTCTTACTCAGCTTGAAACGATCCTATCTTGGGTTACAAAATAGTAATTCACCGTACTTTAATAATATATATTATTATCTCCATTTTCTAATGTAAGAGCTAATAACAGTATTAAATTTGGTTCTAAATATAAAATTCAATTCACTTGATTCTTTTTGTTTATCCAAACTAACCCTATTAATTGCGGGCCCATTTAAAATAACTTATAAATAGTTTTTTACCCGTGATTTAAGTAATATAAGGTAAATATGTGAAAAAAGTTTTGTCTTGACTTACATAAAATATGTTTATAAGTGTTTATGATCATGATTCCAAACCGATTAAGAGGGCTTGCATCAAATAATAGTTTCAATCTAAAAGATGTAAGAGGGTATTTTAGGAAAATTAACATATATTTTTTACAAATAACTAATTTAACTATTTTTTAATACATTTAAATTAGTTAAATAGATATATTATATTAATGATCGAGTGCAGCATTTTATTTTTAGAATACACTTTTTTTGAAATAAATTGTAGCAACTATAATTTTTTCTACATAAAGTTTGATCAAATCTTGAAAGAAGACTTGTGCTCACACATGACAAGTTAGGCATGTCTTTGCTCCTTGTCAGCAACCAGTACTAGGCATAAACATCACATTCAGCATGTTTAAAATAATTTATAAGTAATTTTTCAATCATGATTTACTGAATAAGAGATGAGTAGGTGAGACAAATTTTATCTCAACTTATATTATAAGTTTTTTTAAACGTTTACACAAAAAAGCCTACATAGATGTGGATCAATATTAAATGAAGTAGAGCCTTCTTACCTTGAGTATTCTATTCCCTCCCAGTATTTCTTTCTTAAAGACTAGAGCCTTCTGGCCATCTTCATTCTCCTCCTTCCCAATATTTCACTCTTAAAGTCTTCATACTGTTTCTGATTCAACAAAAAATTAGGATTTCTTTTGAACATATCTCCTATAAAAAAGAATCAGTACGAACCTCTCTCTCAAATTTTTTTAAAAAAATTCCCTAAGATTTACAATTCAAATTAACAAGTCAACTTTACCGAGACGTTTTTCTATCTTAACGTCATTAAGAAACGAAAGGGCGGATCGCTAGCCATAAACACAAGACATGTTAGCACTAAATCTATTGGGAAACTATATATATGTGTGTGTATAAAATTGTCTCGTCCAATTTTATATAGTTCCTGGATGAAGTGGTCCATGCAAGAGCTATTTTACCCTTCTTGCAAAATATCACAAAGTGTGTCAAAAAAATGTGTATATGACCATGTATGACCAACAAGAAAACCCCATAATATGGTAAAGTAATTAGTGTACAAACTCGACATTCATCATCAGTTTTCAAAAATGTTCCCCTGCTTTTAGAGGTGAAAAAGGAATGAGAGGGGACAAAGAATGTGCATGTGGGGTTGCACAATGGTTTGTGTCTAGCCAAGTATGACATTCTGCTTTTTAAGGACACCAAAAAAAAATGGATATCAAGCAATTTTAAGACTTTTTATACCCAGAATCCATTAAACCTTTACACAGGCAAATTTCAAGACTTTTTTTACCCCAATTGCCTTATTATAAGATATTTTTAAGTATTAATAAAAGGTTTTTTTTGTCCTATTTACTATTTTTATATAAACATACTATTTTATCTTTTATTTATTATAGTGTAGATAATTACTACTTTTGGTCCTAATTATAAAATCTCATTTGTAATATATAAACAAGGTCTTTTAATTAGGACCAGAGGTAGTATTTCTTAAAAGAAGTATATATTAAATAGGAACAAAGTTAAAAAATTATATTTTAATAAAAAGTTGATACAATTCAAAGTTTTAACACGTTAGAAGTGTGTTATAAATGGAAGTATAGAAGTATAATTATAATAGGCGCACTTGGCATTCTTTCAAGAGTTTTCTGAGATTATTCGTGCCCCCCAAGTTTGATAGCTATAGCCTCCCTTATATGTGAAGCCAAATGTTGCAGCGACGTTAATTTGACTGGGGAGAATAAAAGACGCAGTAATCAACTAACCACCCCGAAATGGAAATTAAATATTAAATAAATATATAATAAAATGAAAAATTATAGCTATAGAACATCCGATTTTTGTGTGTGTCTGTGTTTTTTTTTTTGGCCAACAGAAGATCGGATTTGTTTAAATAATTACTATAAAATAGGATTATTTGTATTATAATTCGTTATGATTTTCATGTAGGATTTGTTTAGTGTTTTGGATTTCCGAGTTCAAGCTAAACTTTGAATTCAAATTTTAGTTGTTGAACCGTAGGGATCAAGTAAAACTACCCAATAGAATATGCTTTTGGATGGTAAAAGCCTAACGATTCAACATTGTTTGATTCGAGACTTGGTTTGGACTCAGAATATGACAATTATTTTCCTCACATGTTATAAATATATATATATATATATATATATATTGACACACGCTGATTGAGATGGTTATTCATTCTCATAAACCATTAGATATGTTATATCATATATATTCTCACGCGAGATATATTTATTCCTTGATGTGCTTAATATAATATATTCTTCCAGTTCTCAATATAAGAACTATTCAACTAATTTGATTAGATTAAAAAAGTTAGGTGTGTTAATTAATTATAAAAATATGACATGTTTTCTTAAAACATCATATCATCTTTCTTAATATCATTCTTCTCTCTTTTATTTGATTATGCTTGAAGGAGTATCAATAGAAATAATTTAGAAAAAACTGATAAATTTGAGAAATAGATCTTATATTTAGGATCAAAATCAATTCAATAATTAGGTATTATATTAAAAACTAAAGGAATATAACGGTTATGATATTAAAACCCAATTCAAGATTGGCCAATTAAACTAATGAGCTAGTGAATAAGTTCCATTTTGTACTTTTTCTTCTTCTTACTCAGAAACAATTCTATCT